GCCAGCTCCATTCCAAGTAGGCGATGGCTTGCCAGACTCTGCCAAGTGGGCCGCCTCCTTGGATGGCGCGGTCGCGCGGTCGCGCGCCGCTGCGGCCTCGCCGCTCAGGCCGTGCCTCGCCAGACCTGCCTGCCCCCCTCTGCGCGGCGGCTCCTAATTCCAAGGCGCGGCCTGGAACTGTGAGGGCACTGGGCGCCCACTCGGACATCCGCGATCGCCCCGTGGGGCGGGCGCCGCAGTGGGGCGCGGCGCGGCAGACGCTGCGCGCGCGCCCGGGGCTTAAATGTCGGCGCCCGCAAGTGCATACTTGCCGCAGATTGCGCGGGCGCCTTCAGATCGGCCGACGCGGGGGGGTCTGGCCACCGCTCGTCGGACTCGGGCATCGCCAACGGCAGCAAGGCAAAGGGCCGCGCCCTCCGCTGCTGGCGCAACGTTGACGCAGCCCCCCGCCAGCTTCACCTGGCGGCGAGCTTCGAGGGGGCGACCGTAGAGCTTGAGGGCTGCCGCCTGGTGGCGGAGCTCCCCCCGAACAGCCCGCCCCAACACTTTCCTTCGGAGGCGGTCAAAAAGGACAAACTTCATCACGAAATGCTTCCAACTCCCTGGCCGGGGGGGGGGGGCCGGGGAGTTGCTGGCATATGCGAACGCGTCTTTGAGGGAACGCAGCACGCGCTGGCGCTGTCGCCCGGCCCATGCAGCCATGCCCGCCTCAGGAGCTCGCTGTCGCCAAGTGACAAGTTGCTGCTTCGGGGTCGCTTCAGCTCCTCATGCGCGAATGCATCGTTGCTGGTTGGTGCAGAAATGCCCCCCTTGCTGCGCGGCGCCCCGTGGACACCCGCGCGGAGCGCGCCTTTGCGGCGAGCATTCGCAACGTGGCAAGTCAAACAATTATGCTTATCCAGCGCCGCGGCCGCAAGCGGCGCATTTAGGCGCTGACGTGTTCCACCCGCGCGGCGAGCGCGGCGCTGACGTCGCTGACAATGGCATGCGGAACCGCCACGAAGCTGGCAGGGGGAATTTCGGCGCGCCCTGCACGACGCCAGAAAGCGGCTGGCCGGCGCCTCCTATTCGCGCGCCCATATGAACATAACTTAGCGCGGGCGCTGATCCGCCAGAAGCTCTCCCTTCCCCGTCGGAGAGACGTGGGCCTGGGCTCGGCATGTGGATAAGCGGATCTGGCACCCTCCGAATGCGCTGCATGGCCCGCAGCGCTCTGACGAACAGTCACACGACCCCATCTGGGAGCGTCTCGGATTCCTTCGCGGCCCATCCACCCATGCAACCCGCTCTAGAAGCGTGGCGGGCGCGGAGAACATGGGCGAGAGCCTCGCTGGCAAGAACAAACGGCCGGGTGGGGGTTGGGCCAGGGAGCCCCCGGCAGCGCCCCGCCAGAAAATCGCCCCGATCAGGGTTTGCTTCGTCAGTTCTGGCCCCAGCATTGCGGCAACGCCTCAACATGGATTCCGCGTCGACGAAGATACTGTTCGATTTGTCCAGGGAGGCTGGGGCTCGGCAGCCCGAGCACCGCCCCCCCCTGAACAGTCCGATGCTGAACCGGAGGGGACACCGGTTGAGGTGTCGACGCGCTGTGGCTGAGAGCCTGGTGGCCTCACATTTGACCTTGGTGTCAGGCCCAGGTAGAGCCTTGCCAATTGGCCCTTCGCCCCCCCTGTCGGCGCAGGTCCGCGCGCCTGGTCGCGCGTGGGGGAGGGGGACACTGCGCGGCGCTCGCTGGTAAGGCGTCCTGGAGCTGCCCGCGGTCTCGGCCCGCTGGGTTTGGGCCCTGCCACCGCCCTTGGCTCACATGCGGTTGCGACGCGCTGCAATGTGGGCGGCCTTGCCACGTTGGCTGCACCGTTGCCGTTCGGCCTCCATGGGCGCGATGAGGTTTTCCACTTGGAGGTCGGCGGGCAGCTCCTATGGGTCGCACACATGCGGGAACTCCGCACGGCTAGTCGGGCCACGCCGCTGGGCGAGGAGATTTGGCGGCCGCCCAAACATGCTTAACACCGTTCCACCGTCGGGCATGGCTGGTGCCATGCGTGTTCTGATAAACATGGCGTCTTGCCAAGAGGGCTTCGGTACCTCTAGCTTTTCGCAACCTGTCGAGCGTGAATATCGCTCGATTGGCTACTCCGTGATGCGGCCCCACCAGAAGGGGCGGCGCACGCGTTTTGCAAGCGTGGTGATGTACTGTGCCTCGTTGGTACCTGTGCGGCCTGTCCTGGTTCGCAGCTGGGGCGACGCGGTTAAGCTCGACATGGAATGCGTGTGCGGCTTGGTTGGCCACTTCAAACAGCTAACCCACCTCGTTGGCAACATCCTCAACGTCCATACACGACCAGAACATGTTTTCGATGCGGTCGTCCAGGGATTGATTCTCATTCCAAACGATTGAAGGATGGGCCAGCGGGTATTGCACGATGCTCTTCATCCTTCTCGCTGGTTGCCGCACCACAGCAAAATCGAGAGTGGCCAAGGGTCATCGTGCTGCTTAGTAAAGATATCGTGGACCAGGGCGAAATCAGTGACGAGTTGTCCTCCTCTGCTGTTGGCGAAAGCGTGATCGATGCGCGTCCTACCTGCTCTTGGGCATGTGCGGTCCCCGTCGACGTTTTGCCCGTGCAGGAACGTTCGTTCGGACAACCCTCGGCCACGTTTGACCATTCCAAAAAAAGGAAATATTAACTAAGGACCGCCGAGTCACTGAGGTCGTTGTGGGCGTTGACACATATGAAAAGTGGCACGTCCCCCATTTAGTTTGCGGCATCCCATACATGGTGAACGAATGCCGTGGTGTCAGAACCTGATTAGCCGCATACGGATGATGTGTTGACGCCTCGTGGTATGCTTCCGCCTAATGGTAGGGACAAGGACAAGGATCGGGAAGAATGCTCACGTCCATCGCGTGGTCGCGTGGGGCCATTTTTACCGGTGTCCACAAGGGCCCCTTTGGATTGCGATGCATACACCTCCGTATTGGGTTGCGGTGGCACGTATCGGTGGCACGTACTCTATGGTCGATCCCGCCGCCGTGTCCTGTGCGTAGGACGTAGTCGTCCTTGGGGCATCGCCCCCACACTGGTCTCCAAGTACGATTTTCGGGTGAGCGAATTTTGATGTCAAAGGTGTGGAACCGTGCCGCCGAATGACAAGTTTCCTGAAGGGCGACGAGGGGAGCACTGTAAAGGTCACGGAGCTTGGTGAGGGTGCCTCAGTGTGCGTCGAGACTGGTGACTGAAGCAGGGAGAAAGAAGAATGCAGAAGGAAAGAGGGTGGAGGAAGAAAAGAGAGAAGGAGGGAGCAGGGCGGAAGAAGAAGGATAGAGAAAGAGGACGAAAGGAGGGAAGGAGAAGGGAGGACGAATGAGGGAGGACGGAGGGCACAATATGTCGCCGAGGCAAAGGGGGTGGACGGACAGGGATAAGCCTCGGTGCAAGGAGCGCGAATGCTCGCAACCACTGTGGTAATGTGTTCGGTTCCGCCTTCTCGGAGGGCCTTCTTGGGCGATGCTACCACTCGGGGTAGGCTGTGCTGCCACGACTTCCCTCCTCTCGGCTTCAGAATCTCAAAGGACGAAGGAGAGAAGACGGAAGAGGAACTCCTCCCACCTCCTCCTCCTTCTCACCAGCATCATGACTTGCATTATTCTTATTACCATCATCCTCATCAGCATCGTCATCATAATCATCATCATCATCATCATCATCATCATCATCATCATCATCATCATCATCATCATCATCATCATCATCATCATCATCATCATCATCATCATCATCATCATCATCATCTGCGTACAGGGCCACGCCCTGCACCACGCGCAGCTGCCCAGGGGTTGGGCCCTCCGCCAGTCTGCGTCATTGTGCTGTTGGTGGACTCGCACCTCGAAGGCCAGGGCAGCGTGGCAGGTCGGGGCCCGTGCTGGCCTTGCGACGGGGAGCACTGCCGCCGATGTGATGGCGGCAGAGGGTGCTGCTCATACGGCCGAACCTAGGACAGAAGAACATCCTCCAAAAACATGAGACCCCCCTCCGGCCAAAACACCTTAAACCATAAGATCACCGAGGGTATCCTTCCACAGGATGCGCAATAATATGCGCTAAACACGAATAAAACTAGGGTACCCTCCCCCAGTCCACCTCGATCTTATACGTTAGTGCGACCGTACAGGCTCCCGCAGAGGTTCGTGTCGTGACGACGCCGACGCCGGTGTACGACACCGCGTGGGCTTCTCAGCTTTGAACGATCGCGGCTTCCCGACAGCGCGGATCCTTCGATGTCGGCCTCGCTGGGGTCGCCAGCGCGTCGACGCGGCGCGAACCTGCCGTACCTCCTCAGGCTGAGGGTCTTGAGGCCAAGTCAGGGTGCCACGGCTGCCGAGAAGAGTGCGGGCGCACCGTATGCTATCCTCGGAGCGGAGGTCCGCAGGCGCAGGTGGGAGGAGGAGAGCAAAGGCTCTGCTGATGCTGCCTATATCGTTCCTCGGTTTCCTCATCCGCATCATCCTGATCGTTCCTGCCTGAGGCTGTCATTTTCGTAGACCTCCCTCGCTCCCGAGGAATGTAGGAGTCGGTGCCACCGCAATCGAGGCTCTGCGTCGGCTGCCCGTTTCCGAGTGGAGCAGGTCCCCGTGCTGTGAACTGGTGTCTGTAGACGTCTTCGTTTGTGCATTGCTGCATGGGTGGGCCAACCCTTCCAGTTGCATGAGGCCCCACTGGGGACTGGGGCGTTGGTTTTGTGCGAGCTGTGGGATGTTCGGGGATCAGTGGACGCTCGGGGAAGAAAGGGGCAAGCGTACGACCACACCTACCAAACCTACGTGTCTATCTAAACCACCTTTGTGAAGGGCATTGCTCTTCCTTCTCCTCCTCCTCTTTACTTCTCCTCCTCTTCCTCCTCCTCCTCCTCCTCCTCCTCCCCATCCCCCTTTTCCTCCTCCTCCTCCACCTCCTCCACCTCCTCCTTCTCCTCCTCCTCCTTCTCCTCGAGGGCCCCACCACGCAGCAGATGTCGACGGGACACCGCTGGGCGCCATCCGGCGGGGCGACCGAGACCTGCACCCGCGTGGCAAAGGCGCGCTACCATCAGCGCATCGCCCTTGCCCTCTCTGCTTCCCCTGTCCTCCCACCTCCCTCATCCCTCCTCTTCCCTCATCATCCTTCCTCCTCCTCCTCCTCCTCCTCCTCCTCCTCCTCATCATCATCATCATCATCATCATCATCATCATCATCATCATCATCATCTTCTTCTTCTTCTTCATCATCATCATCATCATCATCATCATCATCATCATCATCATCATCATCATCATCATCATCATCATCATCATAATCATCATCAGCAGTACCATCAGCATCATCATCGTCATCATCGTCATCCTCACCCTCATCCTCATCCTCCTCATCCTCATCAGCATCATCAGCATCATCATCCCCGTCATCCTCATCATCGTCCTCATCACCAGCAGCATCATCATCGTCATCATCGTCATCCTCATCCTCATCCTCCTCATCCTCATCATGATCAGCATCTTCATCATCGTCATCCTCATCATCGTCCTCCTCCTCCTCCTCCTCCTCCTCCTCATCATCATCATCATCATCATCATCATCATCATCATCATCATCATCATCATCATCATCATCATCATCATCATCATCATCATCATCATCCATCCTCCATCCTCCATCCTCCGTCCTCCATGCTCCATCCTCCATCCTCCATCCTCCGTCCTCCGTCCTCCGTCCTCAATCCTCCTCCTCTTCCTCCACCCTCCTCATCCTTCTCCTCCTCCTCCTCCCTCATCCTCCTCTTCCTTCCCCTCCTCCTCCTCCTCCTGCTGCTCGTCCTCCTCCTCTATTCCTTTTCCTCATGAACAACTCCTCCCTGTCGCACCCCGAGGCCAATTGGAATGGCGGGCCGGACCTTTCGCCCAACACGTCCTTACCATTCATGAACTTCAAGCTAAAAAAACTGGAAATCGTTTCAACATGTGGCTCTTCACCTTAGCGCTTCGCACATTCGCTTCGAACATCTGCAACAGCTTCGCGGATTGAAGGCGGGTCGTTTTCAAAGTGTGCCCCTCGCCCTAATGCCGCGCACATTCGTTATAAATGAACTGCAAGAGCTTCATGAATTGAGGGCGGCTCCTTTTCAAAATGTCGCTCTAGCCTTATCGCCACGCACGTTCGTTTTCATAAACTGTAAGAGATTAACGGATTGAGGGGGTGTACTTTTCAACATGTGGCTCTCGCCTTACCGCCGCGTACCTTCGTTTTTCAATTTGCAAAGAGCTTCACGGATTAAAGGGGGGTCGTTTTCAAAATGTGACTCCCACGGTCAACGTACCAGAAATTGAGCTTGGGAATGATTCAGGATCGTGAGGGCGCAACGGCTACTTTGATTCGCGGCGTTGAGGTCCCAAGAATGGTGTTCTGCCACGATTCAGGATCGTCAAGACCCAAGCGTCAGGTTGATCCGTGGCGTTGGAGTCCGTGAGCGGTATTTTGGCACGCTTCATGGTCTCCAGACTGTTGTCTCCCAGCGGGGCAGTTCCCCCCGTGGAAATGAACCCTTGTAGAAGCCAATGAAGAGGGAACTTGGGGAAAGGGTGTATTCCAACATCAGTAGTGGGCCTTCGATTTACACTGGTCCTCATCCTCCTCCCCCTCCTCCTCATCCCTCATGATCGTAATCCTCATCCTCCTCCCGCATCATCATCCTCCCTCCTCCATTCTCCTCCTCCTGCTCCTCCTTCTGATCCCTCCTTCTCCTCGTCCTCCTCCCTCCTCCTCCTCCTCCTCCTCCTCTTCCTCCTTCTCCTCCTCCTCCTCCTCCTCCTCCTCCTCGTCCTCTCCCTCATCCTCCATCCTCCATCCTCCATCCTCCTCCTCCTCCTCATCCTCCTCCTCCTCCTCCTCCTTCCTCCCACCGCTTCGTCCTCCCTCCTCCTCCTCCTCCTCATCCTCCCCCCTCCTCATGCCACTCCTCCTCGTCCTCCTCCTCGTCAGCCTCCTCCTCCCTCTCCTCCTCCTCCTCCTCCTCCTCCTCCTCCTCATGCTCGTCCTTCTCCTCCTTCTCCTCATGGCCATCAGCATCAGCATCATCGTCATAATGATGATGATCATCATCATCAGCAGCATCACCGTCATCATTAGCATCATCCGCATCATCATCAGCAACATCATAAACATAAGCAGAAGCATCAGCATCTTCACCGCCACCATCAACGTCATCAACATCATCAGCATCAGCAGTATCACCTGCATCATCATCATCAGCATCATCATCATCATCATAATCAGCAGCATCATCAGCACCACCACCATCAACGTCATCAACAGCATCAGCATCAGCATCAGCATCAGCATCAGCATCAGCATCAGCATCAGCATCAGCATCAGCATCAGCATCGCCATCATCGTCAGAATCATCATCATCACCATCTTCACCATGATGATGAACCTCACCATCAACATCATCGTCATCAGCAGCATCATGATCACCCACATCATCCTCATCCTCCTCCTCCCCCTTCCTCCCTTCTCCCTTCTCTCCCTCCCCTTCCTCTTCCCTCCTCCCTCCTCCTCCTCGTCCCTCCTCCTCCTCCTCCTCCTCCTCCTCCTCCCTGCAGATACAGATTCAAGGATGGAGGGAGGGTTCCAAATGTGGTGCTCTCCCCTTAGTGCAGCGCACACTTTTCTCAACATGTGCAACAGCTTCGAAGATGGAGGGCGCTCAGTGTTCGACATGTAGATTTCGCCTTAGCGCCGCGCGCGCTCGTCTTAAAACGTTGCAGCGGTTTAGGGCTGGAGGGGGAGTTGTTTCAAAATGTAGTCCTCGCCTTAGCGCCACGCACATTCGTGATACACGTTCGCAACAGCTTCAGGGGTGGAGGGGAGGCCGATTTTCAAATGTCACTCGCCAATTCACGCCGCACAGGTTGGTCTTAAAAGCGTGCCCTACTTTCACGAATGGTAATGGAGCGTTTTCAAAATGTGGCCCTCGCTTTAGCGCCGCGCACTCCGTGTTAAACATGTTGCTACATACTCACGGATGAAGGGTGGTGTCTTCTTAACGTGGTTCACGCCTCATCGCCGCGCAAATTCGCCTCAAATACTGAAGCAGTTTCAATGATTGGACATTGGTCGTTTTCAGACTGGAGTTCTGGTCTCAGCGCCGTGCGCACTGGAACAACCACAAAAAACGTTTGACTGGAGGGAAGACAGCTCTGTTCAAACCGGGGGCTCTCATCTCAGCGCCGCGAGCACCCGTCGTTTCGGTACAACGCTTAGCGGGGAGGAGGACGCAGATTTTCACAACAAGGGGTGTTCGCTGGGCATTTCGCGCGCTGTGAAGGCCCGGAGTCTCAACGCAGGTAGCGCTGCACGGGTCCAGGGCAGCTCTCTGGCTCAAAAAGGGAGCGATCGCTTGAGACATCCTCTAGGCTGGCGACCACACGTGCAAACTCGGGCAGCACTTGCACGGATGGGGGCGGCCCTTCTTCGAAAAAGGGATCCCGTTTGACACCCAGAAGAACTGCACGCTCGCAGCTTGCGCGTTCTCGGTTACGCGCCAAAAAAAGATGCAAGGCTGTTCTTGGTCAAAGCGGTGCCCTCGCCAAAATCGCAGGCCAAATGCTGCTGGTCGTTCAAGGAAGACGGCTCTGGTAGTGACAAAGAAAACATGCACGCAAAGAAGAGGGAACCTTGAACGGGAAGGTTTGTTACAGCGTCGCTGATGCATCGTTGGCTTTCTCTGGTTACGATCGGCGTATCGCTTGGGGCATCCTTTCAGGTTACCCTCCTGAAGGTAGCAAACCAAACATCTTCAAGAATGGAGGGCCAAACGTTTTCAAATCAGGCTCTCCCCCTGACGCCGCACACATTGTTCTCGAAAGTTTCTGGACGCTTCAAGGATGGAACGCGGGTGGTTTTCAAAATGTAGATCTCGCCCTAGCGTCGCACACACTCGCCTTCAAAGCTTGCAAAAGCTTCAGGGATGGATACCAGTTCGTGTTCAAAAGATTGCATCTCGCCATGCAACCATGACCATTCGTCTTATTCGGAATGGAATTACGGACTGTATCGTATTAGCGTCCCGCACTTTCGCCCTAAAAGCTCATGACAGCTACATGTTGTTTCATAGTGGGGCTAGCGCTCGGGACTTCCTCAAAATGAGAGGGCCAGAAACTCGAGGAGCGGCTGCTCCGATAGAGTGCAGCTCCTTTCCAAGAAATGGGGCTCTCGCTCGAGTTCTCCTCAGGTTCGGTGCCCGGACGTGCACCCTTTGCGCGACACTCAGACGGCTCGATGGGCTGCTCCTCTTCAGCGCGGGGCTCTCGCTGGACACGTGCCCTTTTGCGCACTCTTCGTCGTTCACCGGATCTGTGCGCAGCGGTTCCCTGCCAAAACGGGGCTCTCGCCAGAGCGGCAGGCCCGCAGGCACGTCGTCTTTCAAGAGAGCGGCTCCTGGAGTGAGGAGGAAGGCCTGATGGGACTTACGAGGAGGGGGCGTGATAGGGGGTAGTGCGGCGCGGCGTCGTCGATTAAGCCTGGGTTTTCTCTGGCCCTCCTCCACCCTCGGCTCTTCCTCCTCTCCCTCATTCTCCCACAATCCCTCCTCCCTCTTTTCCTCCTCCTCCTCCTCCACCCTCCATCCATCCATCCCACTCATCCGTCGCCCCTCCCCCTCCTCCCTGAAAGTCTGCGGAGACCCTAAAAAGTTCCAGGAATTGATGAAAACGTCCAACACTCGGCACTCAACCTCCCCTTCGTCTCCGGGAATCACCGACACTCCTATAGTGCATCTTCGCAGGGCCTTTCCTGTCCCACCGGGTCGCTGTCCCCGTCGTACCCGAGTCGAGCCATCATCGCATCCAAGAATCCTCTCCGAATCTGCATCGAGCCCGCTTCGCACAGGAGAAACGACAGCCGCTTGCAGCACAGACCCTCTCCTCCGACGTCACAGCGTTGTGGCTTGGGCTCTGAGCGACCTCGACGCCTGCCCAGGGGCTGCACGGCTTCCCCCGGGGCCGTAGGCGACCCGAGGAGGA